TAACCGATATACTGAGCGTATTTTGTTCGGAAACGCAGGGTGTGGATGTGGGTGTGGGTGTGGTGTGTGGGTGGCTGTTGGTGTGTGGGTGTAGATAGCTACACATGATGTACCCACACCCACCCACACCGACACCCACACCCACACCCACACCCACCCAAAAGCGAAACGGATAAAGCAGATGTGACTGGTACCGGTGACTTCAGCGCGTTTTCTTTCATAAGAGGAGTCGATTTCAATCTAATCCTCACGATTTTGTAAGAGTTTATAAATTTTCACCCTTTGTAATATGAAGAAGTATTTAGCAGGAGAACCGTGGTTAATCGAACGGTCAAGCGCCCAGTTAACCGAATGGTTAACCGTCAGTTTTCGAGCGGTTTCAGTGACATGGGTTTAACTTTCGATATTTTTCTTTTCGATCTTTTCCCATCACACCGATTCCGACATAGAGTTATGATTTTTTTGATTTTTTTTCGGAGAAAACTAGACGCATCACAAAGCGTTTATTTCATATCGCATTCGAGCGCCGTAAAGTGCGAAAAACGCATCCTAATTCGTCGTCGACATAGGCGAATTTCAAAGGATTTGTGTTTTGGGGTAGGATGTGGATGTGGAATAATAAGCGTTCGACACACGCGCACTCATACCCACCCTTTCCACCTTTGAGGGTGTAGTTGTGGGTGAGCAAAAGAATCATATGAAAACCGATACCCACACCCATCATGCGCAAATAGAAAAGCAGTGTTTATGGACGCACTTAGTATTTTTTTTCTTATTCTGTTTTGTAGGAAGTCGGTGTGATTACACAAGATGCATTTGTCGAAGAAAACGATGCTGACTTCATACGAAGTAGGAAATAGTTATAGCTGCTTCGTTATTGCACAACAAATGTCATTTATATCATGCTGTAAGAGAAGGTAGTATAAAAAATCAACCTTCTGTCGACAGACAGCACACTACAAGAGAAAATAACAAATCAAACGACATCGTCCGCCATGCAAACGAGAGACCCAACGTCAGCATCGTTACCGCCTGATCGGGAGTCATTTTATTTAATGACAAAGTTGAAGCTTGATCGCTTCAGAGCGCAAAAAGTGAAATTTGAAGAAGAATATTCGAAAATTATGAAACTGATCGACGACCCAACGACTTCACTGTCTGCTAAAGTTCAAACTCTGAACGACAGCATAGATCGACTATTTCCTAACGAAGGCAGACAACGATATCTAACAAATTTCAATGATTTGTTGATTATTGCAAAAACCAACACATCGACATCGAATAATTTGCTAGAAAATTTTTATCAGCGGTTGATGAGAATCATTAATGGTGGTAAACGACGTTCGGAATATAATTATTTATTCGGAATGATTATGTCTCAATGGTTTTCACGTCAGGAGAATGTTGTATGTATACAGGTAGATGAAGACGATAAAGAATCGACGACAACAGAACGTTTGCTAACAAACGAACGATTAGAAGCAATTATTTTCGATCAGCCACTGTTAAATTTAGATAAATGGCACAATTTTCTTCAGAACGAAGTGTTTTCATGTTTCGATGGCGATGAAACATTGAAAACTGTCTTTGAAAAGTTCAAGCTTACTACAACCAACTATGGTTTTTCGTTGCTGAAGGAAAAAGTCTCTTTCGAGGATGTAAAACGAGCTATACAAAGTCTTATGAACAACGGCTTATTGGATGAACCACGTAAAAGACTGATTGGAAATATGCTACTCGATGCAAATGCCGTCCAAGAATTTGCATCTTCATTAACTTTGATGATATCCGATCTATCTGAATGGAATTGGTCTATCGAAGGTATACATGGTGTATTTCGTCGAAATTTAGCCGGAAGATATCGATGCTTTTATGAAGAAGACTTTCTTACGGCTATTTTTCTTCAACATTTGGGTTTAAAATGGAGTTATCATTTTAAAAGTCAATTGAAATTGCTATTCGAATCGTTAACTAATACTGCTCTGACTAATTGTTTGCCTAAATCACTTCAACATGAGCGTTTACAACTGCAACGAAATGATTTTTGGATGGCTTCATTGCCAAATGAGATCGATGACACAGTGCCCTACGATTATACAGTATCCTACACAGATACTAGAGCGAACGTTGTTAGTTTGAAAGAAAAAGTACTGTACGTGACCAATGTAGAAATTCAATTACATCAGGTATTATACCCCGATTTACCATTCACTGTTGCTTGTGCTGACCTCGAATGGTTCGGACCATCGATTTCCCACGAATGTCTTCAACCATTTCTTGAACTTTGTGGAGTGCCAAAGGTCTGGCTTGAATTTTTCGATCGTTTTCTCAAACAGCCAGTCTATTATAAGTCGACCGAGTCCAGTCGTCAACGCCGACGTGGTGTACCGATTTCACATTCGCTCTCGTATTTATTTGCTGAGTTATTTCTATTCGGTATGGATCTCTACGTCTATCGAAAAACCGGTGTTTTCAACTATCGGCTTCATGATGATTTCTGGTTTTTTGATCCACAAGTGTCCAAAGTTGAACAGGCCTGGAAATTGATGAATGAGTATACACAAATGTGTGGACTTAAATTCAACGATGCTAAATGTGGTTCCATTCAAATTCGACCAGCGAACACAACTGATCATACTGATGAGTCACATGTTAATGTTGTCATGCTGCCAAATAAAGATGTAAAATGGGATCTACTCATTCTGGAATCAACCGGTCGTTTCGTTGTTAATCAACAAGCGATCGTACCATTTCTTGATGAAATGAAAGTACGATTAACGAATGCATCAACCATAGTTGAATGGGTAAACTTATATAACAAATATATGACTTTTTTCATGCGTAATCTTGGTACATGTGCCAATGTTCTGGGTATACATCATATCGAACAGAAAATCAAAGCATTTCAATTTATTCACGAATATTTGTTTACAGAAACGAATAGTAATGCCTTGACTGTACTGACAAATAGGATTGTTCAACAATTTCCAAATTCTTTGACGGATGAGATTTCCGAAGCTTGGTTCTATTGGCCATTGACTTCTGGTGGACTTGGCTTGAAAAATGTCTATCTGGATTTGCACAGTGTTCACAAGCGATTCTTATGTGGGAATGTAACTACATTTCAACAATTACTAGACAAAGACGTTAAAGTTTATGCTAAACTACTAGAAGAATACAGTCGACAGAAGACGGAAAGAAAAAATTTGTATCGATGTGATATATCCTATAAATTCTTAGAGACATTTGTTGAGGTTAATGATAGATTCGTCACATTTAACGAATTTATTGCACAACGTGAAACTCATCTTGAATATTGGGGAGAAACATATGCAACGCTATTGAAAATCACCGAAGCACAGTTACCAGAACAAACGACTAGTTCACGTTATATGACAGTATCACCGCCCAATCAACTATATAGATCAGAGATCAAACAAGCTGATAGTTATTGGCAGTGGTTAAGATGCTACTATGATGAACAAATCGAATCAGTTTTCGGTCAATTAGACTTTGTCGATAGCGAAAGTTTACCTATTGGTCTTATAGAGATTATGAAAACGACAGACATTGACTGGGATAAATGATCGATGAACATTGCCGCGTTCAAAGAAAATAGACAATTACATTGAAATTATTCATTTTTTTACTTTAGTTTTTGTTATAAGACGGATAAGTTAATCAAGATGTAGAATAAAGTGATTTAATTGAAAGAAAATCTAACGCGCTTAGTAATCTGATTGTTTTGATACTTTTTCAACGGAATCAAAGTAGAAGCAATGTCCCACTATTTGACTAATCAAACTCCGGACAATAATATCACATTCATTGCTTCTTTTTCCCTCTGAAGTCGATCTATTTTCTTCAGATTTATATCGTCCTAGAGTGTGGGTGTAGGGTGTGGCTGACCAAAAGAATCACATAAAAATCGACATCCATCCATGATCATAACAGAAAAATGAAGATCACTGCATATTTTGTTTTCATCAACCGAAACAAATACGATTGGAATAAATATTTGATCTCCTTTGTTCCATTTTCTGCCATTTCTTATGTTATTTTCGGCATTATTCTGTTCTGCTAATTATTCTAATTTAAATTTCTTTGAATTAAAGATTGATTACAATTGGCGTCAATTCAAAAAGATGAGTTAAAAGTTCACCAGTATCTCTTTTGTCGATCCAATGGGATATTTGTTTTTCATCTGTAGTTCAAATAGAGTGGAAAGATAAATCAAAATGACTATGATTGGGTTAAATAGATGCTCGACTAGTGTGCAGATGAAGTCAAAGGGTATCTTCGTTAAGACGATCATTCATGTAGGCATACGCTTGTTAATCAGACTGGTGAATACTGCGAAAAGTTTTGACATACCATTTGATAATCGAGAAGCGCATAATAGACCTATTTTTCTCAAAAGTTATTAATAATAAATATCTTCTGTATTTAGTAAATGTTCTAAGTATCTATACTCAAGAACATTTCAATTATATTCCAAGCTTAATAATGAGTGTAAGCCTTGAGCGAATCATTTTCAGAACGATCGTATTCGAAAACCAAGATATTTTTTCTTCAGAAAATCATATCATTCATTGACCAGAAGTGTTCCATGAAAAGGATGTTGTCTCGAATTTCATTCGTTTACGGCTCTTTTTATAGTTTTACTGATTAAACAACTCTAGTCATCTAGAAATGACTGTTTGTTAAGATTAGGGGTGGCACTTTAACTTTATTTTACTTTAATAAAGTAAAGTAAAGCATTTTACTTTACTTTATTGAGTAAAGTAAACTAATTTACTTTACTTTACTCAGTAAAGTAAAGTTAGTGTACTTTACTTTACTTTACTTTACTCGGTAAAGTAAAGGAGATCAACTTTATCCGAAACGTAAAGTAAAGTAAAGTAACTTAAAGTGAAGTATCTCTTACTTTACCGAACAAGTAAAATATAGTAAAATAAGATAAAGTACAGTATGTAGTTGATGGTTATTGACGTATTAGAATGTGATTAATGTCTGATAACAAACTAATAAATCAATAACCATCAACTACCTATTTTACTTTATCTTATTTTATTATATCTTACTTGTTCGGTAAAGTAGATCTACTTTATTCGAAAAGTAAAGTAAAGTGAAATATGTCTAACTTTACAGAACAAGTAAGATGCAATAAAATAAGATAAAGTAAAGTATATAGTTGATGGTTATTAATTTATTAGTTTATTGTCAGACATTAATCACATTTTAATACATCAAAAGTTGTGTTGAATTACGGATCGAAGGCTCCGAAAAATTTGAACCTAGTTTTATTTCATTGAGAGTCAGCATTGAACCCTGAATATTTTTCATAATTTTATTTTCTACTTTATCACAATCCAACTTTTCACACATGGGTCCCCTCAGGTATCAAAAATACATTTTTTTCGCTGCTCTATCACAGATCTTTAAACTTCAATAGTACCAAGTGTACTAATTATAAATATCTCATTTGTTTTCAAAAGTACTCAGATAATAAGAAAGATTGAAAGCATTCACTAGCATCATTAAGAACTAGCTTTTGTACAAAATTTTACTGATATACGACTAGATTCGTTTCATCGAGATAAAAATGGACTTGATTTCATCAAAAATTCATTTTTTAACGACATATCCATTGAAAAACATTTTCGTAACTAATTTTTATGAAATATTCATTATTGAATGCGTTAGCCTAAGGTTAACAATTGGGTTTACCCACAAAATTTACCTGAAACTTTTTATGGGTAGGTCGGAGATGGAATTATATACAGCAGAGGTTCAAACAGGCCTCGTTTTTTAGGCCTGCACGGCGTGTCAGGGCCTATCAAATTTTTCGAGCGTGTACAATGATGATGACAGACTAGAAACCAGAGGTCCAAACAGGACACTAGGGCTATTACTCAACCCGGTCCTGACCCGACTGTCATAGGCATCACCCATGGTTTTCTGACTAATGAAAGTGACAGGTCCAGACAGGCCAACAGGCCAAAAATTGCTTGAACCTCTGACTTTCACTAGTCGGAAACCCTGGATGATGCCTATGACAGTCGGGTCAGGATGGGGTTGAGTAATAGATCTAGTGCCCTCTTTGTATCTATGATTTCTAGTCTGTCATCATTATTGTAGTCGCTCGAAAAACTTGACAGGCCGTGCAGGCCTAAAAAACGAGGTCTATTTGGACCTCTGATATACAGTTGTGGACAAAAGTAGGTATCCTCCTAAAGTGATATTATATTCCATCATTTCGAACTAATCATTTCGGGAATGTCGGCCTCATTAATTCCTGATCGCAAACACCACCACGCCCTCAATTGGTGGACGTTTGTTGAAGATATCACTTGTACATTGTCATCGTCTTAGGAAGGTCACATCTCGATCATTTTTCGACATTCACTTTCGCACAATCCATCATTCGAAACCTCAGAGGTGCAGCTATTATTAGTAAAATTTTGGTGGAAAATAGCGGAGCTCCAAAGTTTGCATTGAAAACTCCTACCAAGTAGAAAACCCTTTTATTTCAGCTTGGAATCTATAATTTGAGCTAAAATTGATCAATGCAGTGGAGCATTGTAGCAATGACTCATAACCAATCCACAGATTTGTGGTAAAATATTCAGAGTCGTAGATCTATGTAGAGCAGAGATATAGTCATTAGAAGAATTCACCACGCCATACTCTGTCTAAAAATGGAGCGACGGTATTGTATGGTGGATCTTTGCACCCAAGCAACTATATAAGAAAGGTGACAACTAGCACCAGAAAAAGCAAAAATTCATTTTAGGATGACGAAACTATGAATTAAAAGCTTCTGAGATGATATTTTCCCTCCATGTGGGGTGTGGGTGTGGGTGTGGGTGTGGGTGTGGGGTGTGAGTGTGGGTGTGGGTGTGAATATGGGTGTGCGTTTTGATGTCGGTAATGAGAATTGAAATACCCACGTTCACACCCACACCTACACCATCGCCACGGCTCCACCAGGGTAGTTCCTGGTCGCGCGCGCGCTAATAGAATAAGCATTGCTTTCATCAATTCAACTTGAATTTATTTGAAAGGAAAGAAAAAAATTCATCGTGATAAGTTCATTCAATAGAAAAGCGTTGAACACGAGAATTGTAATGATCGACGACATAGAGATTGCCTTGTCGATCGAAGGACAAACCCCAGGGATATTTGAACTGATTTGCTCCTGCTCCTCTGCCATTTCCACCGACAATGACAGTGCTTTGTGTCGCTCCTATAGGCCAACGAATCACACGATGATTATCTGAGTCTGCCACATAGATGGTACCCAACGTATCGACGAACAGTCCATTAGGACGCGACAATTGTGCCAGAGCATTCCCTTGGCCTTGACATCCAGCGACGACAGTTCCTTCTGTTGCACCTATATTCCATTTCATCACACGATGATTCTTTTTGTCTGACACGTAGATAGCCTGCTGTTGATCGACAAAGAGGTATTTCGGCTCGTTGAGTTGATTGAGACCATCACCTTTGTCATTACCACCAGCCACGAGACTTCCATTCTTGTGTCCTACTTGATATCGTCTTACTTCATGTTTCCTGTGGTCAGAGATGTAGAGATATCTCTGATCATCGATGGCCAATCCCAAATGATCGATGTTGTCGATAAGGATTTCTCCTTGAGTTGTGCCACTACAACGAGACCATCGTACGACTCGTCGGTTTCCTAGATCGCAGATAACGAGACTATCGGTCTCTTTATCGATTAGCACATCGGTTGGAAGATTCAATTGATTCAATCGCTTTCCTTGACCATTGCCGCCAGCTACCACTTTTCCATTCGTATCACCCATCTTCCATTGGATGATACGATGATTGAAGTGGTCAGCGATGACAATTGTTTGATCATCATCAACGAAGAGACCGTAAGGGTAGTAGAGTTGATTGGTGGCATCGCCTAATCCGTGGCCTCCAGCAACGGTCACACCTTTCTGCGCCCATCGGGCATTGGCTGGAATATTGGGAATAACTACAATGAACAAGAAAAAGAATTGTTTTCGGCGTTATCTATGAATAATAAATTCTTCTTCAAAGAAACTTGATAAAACTTTTCAGAATGTCTTTCTCTAACATGCTCTAAACAAGCGAAAGGTTCTTCTAGTCTCATATGCAACAAAAAAGAACTTGGTAACTATTATTATGAGAATATTTTGAGATTCCTGGAAAAGTATTTTTTCGAAGAGAAGAAGCATTTCTGAAATACTGAGAAGATTCTATCTGAAATGTATAGGAGGTTGTTGTAGGAGTTAGCATACTTAAAAATAATGAGAAGTCTAATGCTAATAGTATGTTACCTTTCGATTGGAGAACATAGAGATTTAAGTCATAGTTCCGGCATTTTAATAAGGATTTTATAAGGAGAAGGCCAAAAATAAGGATTTGAAAATTGTGGAAAAAAGATAATTTTTTTTGGTTTTTGAAAGATGCGTAGTTCAATTTTCAACAAATTAAAACTGTAATATACCATTTTTTTGCACAAGACGATCAACATTTTACATTTGGGAGTATTAAAAAACCAGCTGCCTGCTGGGGATATTCCCATATCCACAGGGTCTCTAAAACTTACTGGCTAAAGAAAAGGATCAGAAAAAGTGCATAAGCGCTCTCAAAACAACTTTTCTTGGCGGATGTAATGTGCGTTCGTGCTTTTAACAAACGAAAAGAGAGGTAATTATCAAAGAGTTTCAGAAAAAAAAATGTACGACTCTGGTGTTTGTTACAGGCATGTTGTTCACGTACCTTTACATCGCTTCAGCTGTTATTTTCTGTGTTCTCTTGGTTCGTCCTGGCCATTCTCTTCTCTTCTCTCTGTTCTGTTTTCGTTCCCTCTGGTCACATTCTTTGATTGTTTTTTTCTCGCTCTCACCATTCGAAATAAAACCGAACTAAGAGAAAGAAGCACAGGGACTTCTAATATTTTGGTGCCGTGACCCGTTTTGATAACTCGTCATCAACTACGATAAGTTTCATTTTTTTTCTGGTCGACTTATTCTGCCTCGTGCTGATCGTATCTCAGTGATTTGTTATTGTATCTCTATTTTTTCTCGATTATGGAAGAACTAATTAGATCAATTACTCAATTTACTGGTAGCCACAATCAAGATATTATTAACTGGCTACAATATATTGAAGAAGTATTCGATAGATTCCAGCTACAAGGATCAGAAAGAAATCGTGTTGTTTCATACTTTCTAACTAGTTATGGTGCTAGTTGGTTCAAACATATTAAACCAAATACTCCTTATTGGCACACATTTAAGCTTGAACTTATTGAATTATTTTCATCCTCGCCTTCGTCTTCCTCGTCACGTTCTCTCCATCGACATCAATTAGCAATTAACGACGAACCACAAAAACTTGAACTAGACCATGACGTACCGCACAAACCTGCATCAAGTTCGACAATAACCAACAATAAATTAGAGAATCATGATTTCTCAATAGATTCAGTTAATGAGGGTGTGGGATGTGGGATGTGGGTGTGGGTGTGGGGTGTGGGTGTGGGTGTGGGGTGTGGGTGTGGGTGTGGGGTGTAGGTGTGAGTGTGGGGTGTAGGTGTGAGTGTGGATGGGGTGGGTGGGAATGTAGGGTGTGGGTGTGGTGTGGGTGTGGGTGTGGGGTGTAGGTGTGAGTGTGGGTGTGGGTAGGGGGTGTACGTATGGGTGTGGGTGTGGGTATTTGTATTCTCTTCACCAGCACCCACACCCTTTTTCGTAAAAATTTTATTTTTTATTTTGAAAGGATATTTTGATACAGGGTAATAGAGAATTTAATGCTGATTTACACCAGATAAAATTTATGTCACGTAGTAGAATCCTTGGAGGAATTTCGAAGTGTACTTGGGTTAATTTCCTATAAAAAAAGATTCGTTTTTTCGTATTTTGCAATGAGTGCCCTGGGGTCAATCTTGGAGATCCCACACTAATTTTCTCACAGAACTGTAGCCCAAAGAGAGTACTTCCAGGTTCTAATAACCAACACCCCAAACAATCGGTATCTTGGAAGAAAGCCTGTCCTAAAAGTTTCCACATTTATTAAAATTTCGTTATTCACGCGGCTGCCTTGAGAAAATGGAACAATATAAAGGTTGAAATTTTCAGGAGAGATACATCTCTCAGTGCCCTATTAACAGTAAAAATTTGAGAGCCATATATCATTCCTATCAAAAGTTTTGAAGTGCCAAAGTTATCGAAAATGGACCTTTTTTCATATATTGAGTGTTTCATAAAATCCCAATGACTTAATATTTTAAAACGGAAATTTTATGATAAATACAATTCATTGAGATATATGGTAAAAAAAAATTCAGCTCGTTTGGTTGAGCTATTCGTAAGATATCTTTGGATTAGGACCCCCATTTACATATATGGTCATTTTTGGGCCTTTTCGTAAAATGCTCTTAAAAAATCGAGGGATCAGTATTTTTTGAATCGGCTTGCGTCAAAAATCATAAAACTCTTCCCTCTATAACATATCTTAAATTGAGCAAGTTCTGATGATATCGATTGAGCAACTTCGGTCGTGACTTACATGGACTAACTCTTATGAAAGTTCATCCAGTATAATGGCAATACTTCGAATAAACGCTAGTTATAATGGAGCAACATGTTACTGTGGGGCAAATAATTGTAACATAAATATAACAACTTGCTCAAACGGCATTAATTTTCCACAATTGATGCTCACTATCGACGGATCAATTTCACCATCGTCTTCATCAATTTTTATCACTACTACTTGAGCTGTATCAAATCTAATCACTACCGCAAATACTACCCAAACAACTGTCTTCTCATCTGGATTGAAAAATAGTATCGGCACGTCAATTTTGTCAATAATCTCAAATACTCCTCCTCAAAA